AGTTGTGTTACACCTTTTCTTCTGTGTGTTTAGGACAGGGTGCATACATGGCTCTTCCTGTTCCCCCTTTTTCTCACAATCGCCCTCTTAGGTAGGCCAGTCTGAGAGAAGGAATGAATGGCACAGAGACATCCAGTGAGTTCCACAGGGTTAGCAGAGACTAGAACCTAGATTTCCAAAATCCCAGCCTAACCTTAGCATTTTATTTCTATGTCCATCTGTCTTGTCTGTTTCCTTGCTTGATTAAGGAAATCACTTTCCTTCTAGAACCGGGGCCCAAGCTGGCTTACAATACCCTTAAAAACAGCATAAAATTACAATACAATAAATTGACAGATATTAAAACAGAATTTAATCTGTTGCATTATTAAAATGCAATCCAAATTAAAACCCCTTAAAACGTCTGGATTAAAATCCTAGCATTTACCACTACACCACACTGTCTCTCACTGAAATCATAAAGCCATGCATTATGAACTGCAGAATTTGGTTGCTGGTTGTCTAATAACATTGATTTTCTTTACAAACTTTATTATTATTATTTTTTTGGAGAAATATTCATCAGAGAAACTTGAATGGCAAACAAAGCTATCTATTATTTTCCTCCAGCGCCTTGGAAGCCTATCCCGAACACTATTACAAATACTTCTGAATACCAGCCAGGAATACTTCCCAAAAGCAAAGCTAAAGGCATCGATTTCTGTGCTGTCGGTGACAATAGCTACATCATCCGCTCAGACTTGGGCTGTTACATGAGGTCAACCAATTTCCATAAAGGTGAGAACCTGCACATATTCGGTCTGCACAATTCAGTCCAGGGAGGAGACCATTACCTGGCCCATCAGGATGATCTTTTTTATGTCATCAAGGAGGACTCTTACCGGCGTGTGACCAGCCTCCAAGCTGATGAAAATGCTGTGGTTTACAACCTGCACCCCAACTGCCGCAACGGAGACCATTACTATTCGTCCGAAGATTCTTTCTACATTGTGTTCAAGAAGAAGGGTGTATATCGACGTGTCACGGACATGAGCAAAGATTCAAATGCTCGTGAATTTCGCATTCACCCAGATCTTAAAGACGGTTTGTATTACTGGGGAAACAAGGACTTCGTTTTCCTTTTAAAGCCACGAGACAAATGGGGAATCCAGTACCACCAAACCACCAGCTTGAACACAAATGCAGATCCTCTCACCCTTTCCTTCCACGGCGATGTGGTCAACTTCCTTCCTGGAGGATTGGCTGTTAATTATGGCAAGTCATTCGGTGCCTGGAAAGCTCTCAAGTCAATTGACAATCTTTCTCAACTCAGTGTAGCTTGGGAGGAGACGGTGGAGAAGAAGGTTGGGTATGAGAAAAAGAAGACGAGTCAAGTTGAAAGCAACTGGCGGATATCTTCCAGTCTTCAAGTTGGGACAGGAGCCCTGGTCCAGTCCATTTTCCAGGCACAGCTTTCTATGTCAGCTGATTATGGTGGGTCAAGCACTAACACAGAGGGGGAAACATGGAGTGAGGTTACCAAAGTTAAAGAGAAAATCAGCCTTGAAGTGCCACCCAAGAGTAAAGCTTATATCTGGCAATACCAGATGGGCATGGGCGGCGAAGAACTCCTCTTCAGCAGCCGCATGAGTTTCACTGACACTCCTGACCCACCTACATTTAACCCCTTGCCACCCCCAGGCTATGGTAAAGAAGAGGAGAATGCATGAAGCCAATGAATGGTATCTACGGGGAAAAAAGGAAACCATATGCCACCAAGTCAAATCTCACTCAGAAAGTCCCTCCCAAGGTTTTCTAGCTATAAAATGGTACTTGGCTAGTCTCTCCTTCTGGTGGTGCTCTAGGATCATCATGCTCTTTGCCCAAAGCCCACCCAGCAACAGAGCTCGCAACCTCCTGAGTCAACTCAGCTCCAGATGATCTTGGCTGCCTTGCTCCCAAGAGACCCCAGTGGGGATTTCAACTACTGGCCAGGTTCTCCAATTCATTGAACATTTCTCAAGTAAAAATGATACTTATGCAACAATTAATAGTTAATTGATCCCAGTAGTCTCTTCTTTGACCTCTTCTCTGTAAACATGATGCCTGGACAGAAGCAACACAGATCCACATTTATTGTCATACATGGTAATTATAATTATCAGAAACTGTAATCAAGTACACCTTCTCAAAGTTGTGTTCCCTGGATGTGTTAGTCTACAGCACTCTCCCCTCAGCACCAGAACAGGCAGTGCCACTTGGGGTTTATGGGTGCTGTACTCTAGAGTAGGGGGTCCCCAATCCCTGGTCTGCGGCCCAGTGCCGGTCCGTGAGCTTCCTTGAACTGGACTGTGGACACGGATCTCCGGACCCCCACATGCACGCACGGAGCTTCCTTGAACTAGACTGTGGACATGGATCTCCGGACCCCCACATGCACGCACGGTGGGTGTGTCACGCTTGCGGAGGGGCGTGTCGCGCTTGTGGAGGGGTGTGTTGGGCTCGCAGGTGGGTGTGCCACACTTGTGACAAGCCCCTGCACAAGAGCGGCACATTCACCCACGAGTGTGACACACCCCTCCACAAGCATGACACGCCCACCCATGATTGTGGGGGTGCCTCCACCCCCCACTCCGCACAGGTAGCCCACACTCCCCAATTGGTCCGCGGTCCAAAACAAGTTGGGGACCACTGCTCTAGAGAGCATCAGGTCAGAGAAAAATCATATACAGTTTTTAAAGTGCTGTGACTCTTTCTCAGCTTATGGCTAAAAAGAATTTGCAAAATAGCACAAATCCCATGGGTACGTGGTTTGTACAAGGGAGTGAACGCTGTGACAAACTGATATTTGACAGATTTTTGTGGGCCTGGGGACCCAACTGTGGCCCCAACACTCCCAAGTGTGTTCCCACAGCCACCCAAAAGTGTCACTAGGATTTTGGACCACCCCATGAGTTCTTCTAGGTCTCAGGAAGTTTATCCAAAACTACTTCTGTGTTTTGTTTTTGAGTGCCATTTTTGGGCTTGAGTGTAAGCTCTGGTAGGGTTTGCCAACTTGGTAACGGTTTGAAGAAAGCCCGAGTGATGAACAACATGCCAACTAGGTGGGGTCCAATCCTGCTAAGATTCATTATCACAAGGTTGATCACAAAGTCACAAATCAAGCACTTCCATGCCAAGTCCAGTTCACAGCTTGGTTTTCTAGGGTTTGAAAAGTGGCTTGCCATATGATGCTAGACTGGGGTTTCAGAAAAGAGAGAAAATAGAAAGGCAGAATACCTTAAAGCATTTAAAACTGCATTACATTTTTATTCCACCTTCTTTTCAAGGAAAAATAAATAAACCTTTTTCTTCCTTGTTTTAGCAACACAACATCTTCACAACATATATGCAGATTATCCAGTAAACATCATAATCCAGCGGGGAACTTAGACCAGATCTCCTTGCTACATTCAGGTGTGGGGGACCTAAGGCATTTCCTGAGTTGGTGAGCTCCACATCCCATCATCTGGACCTCGGTCACAGTGTTGGAAGCTGATGGGAATGAGCAATGCTTGTTGGGACAGACAGAGGTCTAACCACATCTGGAAGGCTAAAGTTCCTCAGCCCTACTTGAAGTGCTATGATATACTTCACATGATTGATGAGAGCACTCTGCATGTGTTTGTATGTGTACATGTGTGTGTGAAAGAGAGAGACAGGGAGAGGCTTTCCATTTCAGCAAAATGCTATGGAGAGATGAGAGGAAAAGGAGGTACTGTAGTTAAAGGCAGCTTGTAGACCCACACGCGAGTCACTGCAACCCCAAAGCTGGAGAAGAACCTTGCTTTTCACACATGGGTGACAGGTGTAGCTTCTAAGAGAGGTAGATGGCTTTCTTCAGGTTTTACAATTCCATCAATTTCCAAACTACTACACTGTAAAGAGGATGTGGCAGCATCGCAGATTAAACCGCAGAAGCCTCCGGGCTGCAAGTTCAGAAGGCCTGCAGTCGTAAAATCGAATCCATGTGACTGAGTGAGCTCCCACCGCTTGTCCCAGCTCCTGCCAACCTCGCAGTTCGAAAGCATGTGAAAAATGTGAGTAGATAAATAGGTACCACCACGGTGGGAAGGTAATGGTGTTCCGTGTCTAGTCACGCTGGCCACGTAACCACGGAAACTGTCTACAGACAAATGCTGGCTCTAGGGCTTGGAGACGGGGATGAGCACTGCCCCGTGGCATCAGACACAACTGGACTAAATGTCAAGGGGAACCTTTACCTTTGCCTTACATGGTAAAGCCGCCTAGAGTGGTCTTAACCGACCAGATAGGCGGGAT